TATCATATAGCTCCCATAGTAACAATAGCGTGAAACATTTTAAATTTTTATGTTTTTCAATTATAGAATATTTTGTTGTTATACCCGTTACTCGTAGAGTAAAAGGGTATATTAGATTCGTGCAAAAGTATGTAACAGGTAGAAGGAAGCGTTTCCGACCCTATAAACTATATATATTCTTGATCGGGATCACTAGCCGAGTCGATCTAGCCATGTCCGTCTGTCCGTCTGTCTGTCCGTCTGTCTGTCTGTCTGTCTGTCTGTCTGTCTGTATGAACGCTGAGATCTCGAAAACTATAAAAGCTAGAAGATTGACATTTTGCATGCAGGTTCTAGGAGTTCCTACGCAGCGCAAGTTTGTTTCAAAAGGGTGCCACGCCCCCTCTAACGCCCACAATCGCTTATATACGATTTTAAAAATTTCGGAAAAGTAAAAATGCAGTTTTATTGTGTTTATCAATACCTATCGAAATGTAGAAGAAATTTTTTAAATCGGACCATTCGTTAAAAAGTTACGGCGGATCAAAGTTTTTCTCCATCTCTTTCGCACTCCCTTTAGCTGAGTAACGGGTATCTGATAGTCGGGGCACCCGACTATAGCGTTCTCTCTTGTTTATTATTTCATGTTGCTATTCTAGTCTAGTTTTCATTCGTAAAATCTGCAAGGGTATTAGAACTTCGGCTTGCCGAAGTTAGCTTCCGTCCTCTTTATACCCTTGTAGAGGGTATTATAATTTCAGTCAGATGTTTGCAACGCAGTGAAGGAAACGTTTCCGACCACATAAAGTATATATATTCTTGATCAGCACCAATAGCCGAGTCCATCTAGCCATGTCCGTCTGTCCGTTTCTATGCGAACTAGTCTCTCAGTTTTAAAGCTATCGCGATGAAACTTTCCCGAAAGTCTTCTTTCTATTGCAGGTAGTACATATGTCGGAGCCGGATCGGCTACGAGTAACGGGTATAAAAACACTTTCTATGGGAATCGAACTCGTGTTTACAGCTCGGTGGACCAACACACTAACACCCAGAGCAGGGTGGATCTAAGTGGAATAATTCATAACATCTTGTTAAGCCGTTTTACTAATATATAAATGACATAAAGTCCCAAGGTTGATACAACTTTTTGTATTTATGCATACCTCTTGTAAACTAAAAACCGTGTTTTAAAAAGTTTATACAAAGAAATCACCTTATTTTATTAACTCGATGTGTGCTCCGTGGTTCTACCTACAAGCACAAATTGAAAACTTTGTAAAATTCCGTACAGAACATTTGCAATCGCACTTTGAGTGATATTTTTAAGCGAAATAATATCGCTGACATAGTTTCATTATTTCTAAGCGATATTTTTTTTCGCTTACAAAATAATCATTAAATGGAGAATTTAATTTTTTCACTTATAATGTTTACGGTCCCTGCTTTTTTTGTTGAAGGGGGTCATGGCCGGACACCTAACATCCTTAATTTTTGATCTAGAACAAGTTTTGTTAGTTTCTATACATCAACAGCCATCGACACACGTAAGATTTTTTCGATATATTAATTTTTTTGCAAAATAGTGAGTGATTGAAAAAAAATTAACATCATTAATCTTAACATTAACATTAACAAAAAAAGTAAGCAACATAAAAAAAAACCTATGTGTGTCGATAGATAAAGGTATTTTGAGTATAATGTCAAAATTTTAGATCGATCGGTTAAGATTGGTTTGAGTTATGTGTCCGGCCGTTTGACACTCCGTTCAAAAGTTACAGCCAAAATAAGATTTTCATGATGCAATTTTAGAAAGCGTATTTAATGACGAATGTAATAATTTTTCGTCACAAATGTTGATATCAGAACTTTTGTATGTTGAAGGTGCGATCGTCACTATTTTTTTTCCTCGTTAAGAGGTGTTTTTATTTGATCCAACATTAATTCCAACATCGATTTTTCCATTGAACGCATTTGCCTTTGATATTTTTTCGTTTACTTGAAATAAACAAACTGTTATTGACATTGTTCGAGGAAGGCGTCTAAAAAACCAAAGTAAGTACCCTGCAGGAAAAATGCGAACTAGTCTGAAAAACAACTAGTTATACGACTAATATAAAGCAACCGGAAAAAACGTAAGCCGGAAAATTTGTGCTAGTCGAAAAAATGATTAATACAAAACTAGTAAAAAAGAAACTTGTCTTGGACTAGTACCATTCTGACAAAAAAAACCTTAAAAATATTTAACTGGTAGAACAAATACAAATACATACAAATACATGTTAGGGTCTAGTTAAAAGGCAACTGGAATTTAACTAGTTGCAAATGAAACACATATGATCCAAAAATATAGCCTAGAGTGTAAATGTCTGCTTTAGTTTTATTTTAAACTTTGTTTAATCTGGCAATATAAATGTGAAAAATCACTGTTTTTGAATTATGTCACACTAAAATTCATAAACCTTGTTAGGGCAATACAAAATGTGATGCGTGTATGGCTCAATCAGTTAGTGTGTCTACAAATCCAAAGGTCCCGGGTTCAAGTCCTAGAGAGGGCGACTTGCCTCAAAAAAAGTAAGTTTGTTTGAATTCCATTTAATTATCATTTACTGTATTTGATTACATAATAATTATCAGAAATTCCCTAAGGACCGCGCCTATTAATTGGATACTAAATTAGGAGAGCGTCAAGTTAGGCATCGTCAAGTACTAGTGAAATCCAATCACTTGATGGTTTAGAGATTAATTTTTAGTTTTTTCGTGAAAATATTTTTTTTAGTGTAGTTTAACAGCTGTAACCATAAATTGGTTAACAGTCACTAGTGCAAAACTAGTAGCAAATTGACTAGTTGTTTCCGACGACAAGCATATGAAAAATGGACCACTTCGTTACAAGGAAATGGACATAACTTGAACTAGTTAGCCTTCTTGACCCAACTAGTATTTTACTGGTCCAAAACTGATTCCGTTTTCTAAATTACGTTGTAGGTACCCTGCAGGAAACGGAATCAGTTTTGGACTATTAAAATACTAGTTGGGTCAAGAAGGTTAACTAGTTCAAGTTATGTCCATTTCCTTGTAACGAAGTGGTCCATTTTTCATATGCTTGTCGTCGGAAACAACTAGTCCATTTGCTACTAGTTTTGCACTAGTGACTGTTAACCAATTTATAGTTACAGCTGTTAAACTACACTCAAAAAAATATTTTCACAAAAAAATTAAAAATAATCTCTAAACCATCAAGTGATTGAATTTCACTAGTACTTGACGATGCCCAACTTGACGCTCTCCTAATTTAGTATCCAATCAATAGGCGCGGTCCTTAGAGAATTTCTGATAATTATTATGTAATCAAATACAGTAAATGATAATTAAATGGAATTAAAACAAACTTACTTTTTTTGAGGCAAGTCGCCCTCTCTAGGACTTGAACCCGGGACCTTTGGATTTGTAGACACACTAACTGATTAAACCATACACGCATCACATTTTGTAATGCCCTAAAAAGGTTTATGAATTTAAGTGTGACATAGTTCAAAAACAGTGATTTTTCACATATATATTGCCTCGGACAGATTAAACAAAGTTTAAAATAAAACTAAAGCATCACCTAGCAAACAAAAAACAAAAAAAAAAAGTGCAGAGACTGGGGATTGAACCGAGGACCTCGAGTGTTTAATTTGTTTATTGTTAAATTTCCCAAGACATTTACCCTCTAGGCTATATTTTTGGATCATATGTGTTTCATTTGCAACTAGTTAAATTCCAGTTGCCTTTTAACTAGACCCTAACATGTATTTCTTCTACCAGTTAAATATTTTTAAGGTTTTTTTTGTCAGAAAGGTACTAGTCCGAGACAAGTTTCTTTTTTACTAGTTTTGTATTAATCATTTTTTCGACTAGCACAAATTTTCTAGACCCTGTGTAGTCCAAATGCATTCAGACAAATTCCGGTTGCTTTATATTATTTGTATAACTAGTTGTTTTTCAGACTAGTTCGCATTTTTCCTGCAGGGTAGGTACAAACTTCTTACGAATTTTTTCTATATGTCGTACTTGAGCGCATTCGAATAACGTGTGAGCCTTAGATCTGATAAATATGTAGCTTAGATGACTGCAAATCAGTATGGTATTAGGAACAACTTCATCCCCTTTTAGAACCTTTGTTAATACGTGTATTCTCCCCGTAAAGAAACCAGCCGAAATAATAAGCCACAAAATTTCATTGCATCTACGTGATGGCCAGGGGAAAATTGACAGAATAAGTACATCGCAGATGATGAACCAGACACTGACGGTTTCTGAAAACATAGTAATCTGGAGGGTGAGTCAATAACATCGTGGCTAAACCCAATGGGGTGCGACAAGTGTAATAATCACCAAAGGACTTGATGCCGATGACATGGCCTGACCATGGTTTGATCCTAAAAATATTGCTCAACTTGCTTTGGAAATGTTTCGGGCAAAATCCAGCCTTAATGTATTTTCTTAATTTGTACACACAAAAAAATTGATACGAAATGATGATTAATTTTATGAAATGTAGTGTAATTATGATGAAAATTTAAATAACATAATCGAAGTAGGTCGAATACCTCTATCTCGCAACCCCTCACGTAATTTTTGGCGCTATCTTGATCCTTTCTCTCTTTTTTTGATTAGAAAGAATTTTCAAAAAGCAATAAAACGGAAAAATGAAATTTTCAGTATAAACTTTACATTATTTTAACATGCGCAAATTGATCCTGATCTGTTTTTTATTGTGTATACTGAAACTACTTACACATTTTGATTAGCTGTAGAATTAATATAACTCGCGTGCTATGTATAGCGAATTTATTTTAAAAGATTGGCGGCCTCCTCTCCCCCAAAAATCGACAAAAAATGTTTATCCTAAATTACAAATTTAATTTTTGATCCACCAATGACGCAGGGGAATATAAACATTGGCCAATCAGTATCTGGTTTTTTAAATCTAATTTTTTTGTGTGCTGGGGTATTATAGTTTGACCTGTTTTACTTACCCACTCCTTTTATCGCTGCCTAATCATTGTCAAGATATTTTTATAAAACACTTAGCGACTACTAAGCCATTTCTCTGTGACGTCTCTGAAACGAAAAATATAAAATGAGTATATCGTGATTAAATGAAATATAAATTATCTAACTTATGGCTGTAGTTTATTATTTGAACACCTCAAAATGTAACCTGTTACGCACCTTTCAACGAATATTTATACCCTTTTTCTCTACTATTAAGTGGTTCAATATTTTAAGACCTGCGATGAATAACCATTGAGTTAGGTCCTGACTAATTGGGATGATTCCCATGTAATAATTTAGCTGTGCCTAATTTTTGAAAGATATTTGCAAATTCATTACTATATTCATTACTTTTGTTTCCGTTTTTTGAAAGACATATAATTTGATTATTTTTTATTATACCCGTTACTCGTAGAGTAAAAGGGTATATTAGATTCGTGCAAAAGTATGTAACAGGTAGAAGGAAGCGTTTCCGACCCTATAAACTATATATATTCTTGATCAGGATCACTAGCCGAGTCGATCTAGCCATGTCCGTCTGTCCGTCTGTCCGTCTGTCTGTCCGTCTGTCTGTCTGTATGAACGCTGAGATCTCGGAAACTATAAAATCCAGAAGATTGACATTTTGCATGCAGATTCTAGGAGTTCCTACGCAGCGCAAGTTTGTTTCAAAAGGGTGCCACGCCCCCTCTAACGCCCACAATCGCTTATATACGATTTTAAAAATTTCAATATTTCGGAAAAGTAAAAATGCAGTTTTATTGTGTTTATCAATACCTATCGAAATGTAGAAGAAAGTTTTTAAATCGGACCATTCGTTAAAAAGTTACGGCGGATCAAAGTTTAACCCACGAGTTAAGCCAATTATCTCCATCTCCTTCGCTCTCCCTTTAGCTGAGTAACGGGTATCTGATAGTCGGGGCACCCGACTATAGCGTTCTCTCTTGTTTTTTAATTCTAATTGTCCATAAATGTTATATACGAAATAAATCCAGCAGTAGTTATTTGACTGACCACACCCTCAGTTATGTACATAAGTAGGTCAAAGTCGAATTCCCTTGAGAGGAGGGGTCTTCTAACGTTGACTATTTTGGTCCATCCACCTTCGACAGCACCAAAGCTCGCCTTCCTTCTTCTTTCGCCTTCTACTTTCAATGTAATTCCTAAGGCTGGCCCGCAATATGGTGTGTCCGTAAAAGAGAAATGTTTTTTTTATTACTATTGAATTACATGAAATGTGACCACTCGGACATTCAATGAATTTTGTATGCATGCTTCTTTAAAATTATCAATAGGAACAGCAGAGACCAAGAAAAATCTAAGCTTTATAGTCCCAATGCGGAGTCATTTTCAGTGTAGTTGCTTAGGAAGATAGGGGTTGAATTATTGAGGCTTTATAAAAAATTCGGGTTTGATGTCCCCATTCTGTGGAAATAATTCGTTTGTTTATAGAATAACAAGAAAGGAAGCTAGCTTCGGCCCGCTGAATCTTATATACCCTTGCAGATCCTTCCTATTAACTCACAAAAACATGAAATTAAGATTTACTTCTGTATATTTCACAACAATCAAACTTTTAGTTGCTTTCGTGTTAATTTGGCATTCATTTTTTGATCCTTTCTATAATACAACGACAACGAACCAGTATTGATAATCGTAAAAAGTTGTTGGTTTTTTGCTAAAGAATTAAACCCATACATGAATTCATCAACACAATGAGACCGCGAATTCTTTAGCACAAGAGGAACCAAAGAGACCAATCGTATGGCGAATGGTCAACCATACTTATGTAGCTACGAATTCCAAACTTTTGGTGCAAAATGGTTATCTTAGTCAAACATTGGTTCCTCTTGGTTTTAAGAACTCGCGGTCTCGTTGTGTTCATAAATTCATGTATGAGTCAAATTGGTTAGCAAAAAAAAAAACTAACAACTTTTTACGATATTGGTTCCCTTGCCCTAAAGAATTCGGGGTGTCGTTGCATTAAGGAATTAATGTATGTAGGTAAATACAATTTGCCGCCATAAGAAGATAAGTACAAATTCCAAACAAATTTCATGAGGTGAGATTTTGTGACGTCATTGGCAACAGATATTTTTGAATTTTTTTTGTTTAAGTTGCACAATAACAGTTTCATAATAAAAGTCTCCGAAACCATGAATCCGTTTGCCTCTGAGAGCTCCGGAAAGTGGACCAATTTCAGCATTTTTCGAACTTTGAGGTCCTTTTGCTAAGAATCCTTGCGTCGGGGAACTTTTTGGAAATCGCAGTTTAACTTCGGAATTCATAACGAATCCAAAAATATAGCATCCATCGAGGTAAATTTAAAAAGCATTAAAAATGCTGCACAGTGTAATCAAAGCAATAGCACGCTTTTACAAAATCTTAAAACATGCGTTTGCTAGCCCGGTTTTAGAGTAGAAGGGTTTTGTGGCCGTTAGGGTAGGCGTGGCAAACTGTTTTACGTCAATGAATAGGTATTACCTAGACATCGGATTTTAGATTTTTTCTGTTTGTGGTCTGAAAAATCTAGACAGTTTTAAACAGAGCTTGCAAATAACTGTCAACCCTTTAAGGGGTTAGCTCACTCCCAGTTGTCATAGGGTTTTTTGTGACAGGTTTTTCCTAACACTTTGAAAAGGTTGACCGAACCTTGCAAGCTCTGGTTTTAAATAAACTTATAACTTATAAAATTACAAGTTTATTTAAGAAAATTACGGCATGTGGATTTCTACCATTCTTATAAAGTTACTAAAATAGAGATTAAAATTTTAAATAAATTGGTTCAAGACTTTCCAAGTCTGAAAACTCCGCCAATTTTTTATAGTTTACGTGTCCAGTATACCAGTGGATCAAAATATTTGAAAATTCGGATTGTTATCCATTGCTTCTATCTACCAATCCTCATCCAAAATATCGCAATAACGTCTGGGCCAGTTTTCTCAGGCATGGTCAGTAGACTCGGTCGAATAGAGTGGGCCGGCGGGACGTAATCTAGGAAGAATTCTAATCAATATTGCAAAAGAAACTATATCTTAAAAACCTTGTTTGCAAAAGAAAATAGCCAAGTATTTGATGAAAAGTATCACAGTAGTTCTAAATCTTGTACTCTGGAATGGACGCGAAAAAAAGTAATAAATCGTTTGGGCGGAAAACAATCTCTGGGAATTTCTAAACCATATGCCTAAAATCACGTTTGACCCTTCGCATTTGAGAAAAATATCTTTTACTTTTGAGAAAAATATCATAGTAGCCGTTAAATATTTGTCTATGTTCAAAATGTTTTGTTCTCTTTAAAGCATTTTTATACCCTTGCAGAGGGTATTTATCCGTTTCTTTGCAGATCATTCCTATTGTATTATAAATCGCAAAAATTTTAAATTTCGTATTGTTTTGACATTAATTTTTCTATTCTTTCCTATGGCATCTATTTAATATAGTCATCCAATTTTTGTTAAATTCCGAAATTCGAGTGGAAGAGAATACAATAAAAATCAACGGAGCTATAATTTGTTTTCAAATTAATTTCCCATTAACTTTTCGATCGTTCCTATGGCTATATGATATAGTCGTCTGATTTTGATCAAATTAAAATAGAAATTAGTAAATAATTAAAAGGATTCATATCCTAGAGTAGAAGAGTATACAATAAAAAACCAAAGAATCTAAAATTTATTTCCTATTGCTTTTCCATTAATTTTTCGATCGTTCCTATGACAGCTATATGATATAGTCGTCCGATTTAAAAATAAAGAAAATAAATAAAATAAATAAAAATATTAAAAAATAATATCCCCAAGAGTAGGAGTTATTATTTCAAAAAACACGGAAGCTAGAATTTTTTAACGTTCTTTTTCCGATCCTTCCTATGGGAGCTATAAGATATAGTTGTCCGATCCAGTCGTTTCCGATTTATATACTACCTGCAATAGAAAGAAAGTCTTCTTGGGAAAGTTATAAGCCGATAGCTTTAAAACTGAGAGATTATTTTGCGTAGAAACGGACAGACAGACGGACAGACGGACATGGCTAGATCGACTCGTTTAGCGATGCTGATCAAGAATATATATAATTTATGGGGTCGGATAGGCAATGAAGGAGAATTGCGTTGCAAACTTCTGACTGAAATCATAATACCCTCTGCAAGAGTATAAATATTGAATATGAGTACAAATTTTGTACCTGGTATGTGCGTATGTCGCAACATAATAAATCATTATAAGTTCTTGTTTTATAAGTACATAAGTACAATAAACTTTCGGTATGAAAACATTATATATATATATATATACATTTTTAAACGATTGACAATGAGGTAATGCTTCTTATAAAACACATCTGAGCCACATCTGCTCTGCAGATGCATATGTACGTATGAACACTCGAAAGAAAATTAAAAAAAATATTTGAAACAGTTTGATCAGATAATGAAGAGTTAAATTGGATTGTTCAAATCACTGATAGCACCAGCTTACAAAAAAAATCGACCTCTTCCTACTCGAAGAAAACCTTGGTTTTGTGTTAAAGTACTTCTCCCTGATTAAGAAATGGGCATTTAAAATTTTGTTATGGTGTCAATTTTTGTAGTGTAAAAAACGTTTTGGGCCATTTTTATTTTCTATCTTGAGTTCTGGTATACTGATTGAGGTCATCGATGACTCATTTTACAGGTAATATAATGCCCTTTAACTTTCTTAAATACAACATTGAGTTCCAGTCATTAGTTTAGAAGCTACACCTCGTCAAAGTTAAATTTTGGTATTACAAAAGTATGCAACAAAAAAATGTTTCTAATATCACCCCCCACAACAAAATCCTAGATCCGCCACTGGTTGAAAAAGTTGAAAAAATGCAAAAGCTCTGGCACAAATGGCTTCGTTAAAAATACACGCCTAAAAATTGAAACTAGTTTTATAACTTCAACTTAAAGATACAACTTTAAGCAAACTAACAAGACCATCAGCTCAATCAGCTCAAATCAAACAAGGGTTCCATTTTCTATCGATTTTTTAAGTTGGGACAAACACAGCCCTGTTGTCTCAGTTAACAGCTGTAAACGTCCAAAA